TGATCTTTTTATTTTTTTCTAATGAAATTTCTCATGTGATGAGAGCACAGAGTAGAGGGGACAGAAAACCCTTGTGGAAGTTCAGTTCCTGAATACTTTCTGCCCTACCTGTAAAAAAGCGGCTGCAGTATGAAATGGGTTATGTGTCAGCTCGCAGGCATCATCAGAGAGCAGGTATAGCTTTCTTTGAGGTATTCTTCCCTTTCAGAGAAGAGTCAGGGAGCTGCCACACTTACACAGGCAAATCTGCTTGACTTCAAACCTCTTCTATTTGAAGAGAAGAGATAACTTAATTTCTAAGCTGAAGAATAAATGACTAAAACAGTGGGAAATTTGGGAGTGTTTTGGCTTATCTTGTAAATATTTCTGGATATTTTCATGCACGGCCTTTTGTAGCCAAGTGCAATATGCTGGATGCTAGCTGGGTAACAGCATGGTCCATGCTCAGGACATAGGAACAGCACGTATTTGTTTACTTATTCAAATAACACTGGGGTGAGGTTGTTCAAAAAACAAAACAATTCTTCTAAAATGAACTAAAATTTCTTTTACGTGCATTCAGCATTTTGCAACCCATTTAACCAGCCAGCTTTGAAAACAGGAAATTCATTTTAGTCTTTTGAATATGCATTATTTTACAATTAAATTTTTAAAATATAAAAATAGTAAGAATAATTTTCAAACACCAGAGAGCATTCTCACTGTTCAAATCAGTTCCAGTAATAACTTACTTCAAACTCCAGGTGAAGCCTATCGACCTCCTCAGGGGAGAAGCTTCTCACAGCTTCAGTTGCCTTGCCCACATTATACTACTAAATTTCACAAGACAGAAGTTCGCAGACAACATTTACTGTGCTGCCTCCATTGCATGCTGGGCTAATGGTATGCTTCCAATCAGGATATTGATGGGGTAATGCCAGTGGGAGGATAGAGGGGGCAGATTCAGCAAAGTAGGTAAAAAATGTGAAGATCTTAACATGGTATTACATCTGCCAGTTGGTAATGATTTACTGACTTACACAAGAATACTTCGATTGCAGTCTCTCAACTGATGCAACTGTCATAAAAACTGCTAGGAAAGTACATTTTCATCAGAACATCTTTGCTATGAGCTTGATGCATTAATTTCCTCATCCTTACTGGCACACACATATTCCCTATTCCACCCAGCCAAGCATTTGCAGTAGGAACTCCTACAAGTTGAGAGCAGCTATTTTATTTTTGTGCAATTGGCTAACACATGAATGAAAACTAAAATCCCAAACAACCCCCATGATGGAGTTAAAACATACCAATGGACACAACATCTTGCTGCTTGAAGCACCGATGTCTCTGTTGCGATAACGCTCTGCATTAGCAAACCAGTGGCTGTTCCTGAGGCTGTGTCTTACTCTATGCATTGTTCCTCGATGCTTTCAATGCATCAGAGAATATGTATTCCCTCAGAAGGGAAAGTTCCTCTCATGAAAGAACTTAAAACCAGAAAGTATGCCAGTTGGAAAAAATAATTCAAAATATATTATGTCAGAATGTGGCAACAGGGTTAGCCAAGGCCACATCTGCATGGATGGGCATAAACTGAGATCTCTGTGACAGGGGTAAACTCAACTCTGTATACATCACCAAGGCTGCTTTGGTATATCATAGCATTTGTTAGAGGGTACCTTCTGCTGGGTTCTAGATACGGGGTTCAGATTTGCTCAGACTTAAGTTTGCAATGAGACTGGATGGGTCATCCAGCCAAAAAGCTGGAAAACAGTGAAGTCTACTTGGAAAAGCACTTCTTAAGCTGGAAGTGCTCTGATCTTCACAACAAAATAAGTGAACCCAATTAAGAACAGGGAGTGACACACTGCTGTTTTAAGTACAACATGATGGTGTTTCAGGCTGCTTGCCCTCCTTCATTGCCTTAAATCATACCTTTAACTTGTGTTTCATAGTTGCACCTACAGTGTTTAGGAATCCAGCAGACAGGACCAAGGCGCTGTGCTGGGGGTCTCTGCTGCCTGCACCACCCTGCCATTGGAAAGCAGTCTGGGGGGAAGCTGCAGGAGGCTGCTGACCCCTTGCTGCAACCAGCTGCTTTGCACAGCTGCGCACAACAGAGCAAGCTGCTGAAGGCGAGCAGAAACAAGCTGTGTCTCTGCCAATACAATAAAGCTGGTTGTGATGGAAAAAAATAATTAAAATCATTTGGAGGCCAGTACATTCCTCACTGTGTGTCTCACGTACTGAGACAAGCAATGATTGAGACCAGGCCATTTCCCCACACATGAGAGCACATCTGCATCTAGAGACCCAACACAAGTCTCTCGGTATTTTACACAGGATGCTCAATGCAAGTAGTAGCCATTAACTGCTGAATTAGAACAGCTCTGCTATTCTGTCAAACAACCTGGCCTCCATATCTCTGCTGCCCATCTTTCACTAGCTGTACTTACAAAGAATTAGTGCATTGTTTACCCTGCAGTGCTCTTCTCACCTTGTTCACATCACCCCCAGAAAAGTCCAAAGGTGATGCTTCCATGCCCCTTTCCAAGGCACAGCAGATTCCCCTCTTGTGAGCCTTCACTTTTCTCACTCATTTCTCTTCCAACTCCCCAAGTGCTAGTACCTCCTCTTGCTTGAGGTGAATCTCAACTCCCAAGGCAGTTGGCAGGTTCTCCCACTTTTACAATTAGAACCACAATTTTTATTTGCTGCTTGGGATTTTTGGGGTAGGTGGTAGGGGGAGGTTTGAAGAACAGATTCTTACTGCACAGCCTCTACATTTCTTTTTCTCCAATCACACTAGTAATCATGCAGCTAGTAAGTTCCCATCAGCATCAGAATACTGAATCAGAAACTTCATTCATTTTTAGGCTTAAGCAACCACTTCTTTTTCAGGACATACTAGAGATGAGATGTCCTCTACCTCTCAGGCAGTGGGAGGTAGCAAGACACAAGACAGACTGGTCTTTCTCACAGCCTGTATTTAATCCCAAATTCAAAGACACCTTGTACTTGAAAAACAGATCCCAGTAGAACTCATCCAACTGGAAACAATCATGTATGTTTATTTTGTCATCGGTTCAACCCCATATGGTTTCCCATCTCTAAAATTCTGCCGTGTCCTGCCAAAAATCACTTGCAAGTATCTTGTGACAGTCTTAAGCGCTGATAACAGCGAAACACCAGGACAGCTTTGCTGAGGTTGGAATGCACTGCAAACACCCCACTTGTCCTAGAAGTTAGATTCTCTGAATTGTCCTGATGCACCCCATGGTGGTCTTCATCAAATCTGATCAAGCAAATACTTTATCTTAGTCATCTCTCACTCCTCAGCCTGCATTAGCAACTTTTCCCAAATAATCTAGTCCCCAAATTTACTTTAAAACATAGAATTTCTTCCTACAGGATGTAATTAAGCTTTTTGTCAAAACTATTAAAAATCAGGGTTTCTTGGCAGGGGTGAGAGAATGAGGAAAGTAGCATGTGTTTCACAAAAAACAAATGTTCCAAGTCTAAAAGAAGCAAGAAATTGGCACAGGAATCCCACTCATTCTGTTCCAACTTACCTTGTTTCAGAAGAGAAGCCAGATTAATATGGCCTAACTTCTTAAGATATCAATTTATACCAAAATGAGTGCTTTGAATACATACTAAATCTGCAGACTCACTGATCTTCCTTAGGGAGGCCTGCTCCTTCACCCTCACCATTCCCAAGGATCTGGGTATTTCTAGATTCTCAATACAACTCTTCAATAGTGGTACCATTTTCTAGTTTGTACCAGTCACAGTAGAGGATCATCTATGTGGTCAAGTAAAACTGTTTTCAGACTCTTTAGATGCCTCTGGATGATTAAGTGGGCCAAAGAACCCTCCCATCAGATGACTATAGATAGTGACTGGATACAAAAATTCAAGACAACAGCGATGCTCCCAGAACAGCCCCAAAGTGCTCCTCTAAAGCAAAAGCATTGGAACAGGGCTAGAAATTAATCACAGTCATTCATCCACCTTAACTATGATACATGGGAGGAAACCATGGTGGGGGGAAGGCAGGCAGAGTCTAAAGGCAAATTACAGTAGCAGCAGATTCAAATGATGGTGCTGGTGGGGAAGGAGAAAAAAAAAGTCAACTGCAGATTACAGGGTAATAAAGAAATACTGCTGCAGCGGGCTTTTCTCCTTTGGGAAAGGAAGAATTTAACTTAAAATGGGTTTTGTTTCTGAGTTTGTTTTTTTTTTTTGACTAATTTCTCCTACTTAGTGAATTCTCAAAACTCTTCATCCTGTTAGTCTGCTAATATTTTCCTCAAACAAATATACTCATTTGTGCATTTTAGAGTATTTTCCCAGCTCTTTAACTACAGCAACTTGCCTATTGAGCATTTTAAATTTCAAACCAGCATTTTGCAGTTAAAGTTTTATTCTGTGTTTCTCTTAGGGCTGCTGTCATCAGCTTACCTGACAGTCCCTGGAATCTTACAGAAAAAGATGGAATCTTTCTCTGAAACAAACCAGCCAACCCCACAAACTGCCCCGACTTCCACTGCTTTAGCAAAGCATATTTACATTGTCGATGTTATGCTTCCCTCTACTGTTTACCTTAAGAAATGCAGTTACCTCTTAAACATTTTGAAGTCTTCCTTAAAAAGCGCCAACATATATATAAACCAACGAGTTGCAGGCAAGACTCACCAAGTAAGCTTAATGAAAGTTTCATTTTTAACAGGAGATAAAGGAGGCACTAAGCAGAACTATCCCCACTTACCTCAAGCTCAATATTAGATGAAATATCAACTACAATGTGCTATTAGTCTCATGTTGTAGTTTACAGTCTGTGAAAGAGTCAACTTCAAGGAGGCAAAAAGCTTCACAGACCAAAGCAATGTAACGAAGAGTAAAAAAAAGTCAAGAATCAAAAAATTATCATAGAAATAACAAGTTATGTGACAAAACAGTGTTATGTATTTCACATCACTGATTTCAAGAAATGAATACCACAGAAACACTAAAACAGTCAAAACAGTAGTGGTCTTTATTTCCATCAGACAAGTTAACACTTTTGTCGATATTAATTTATTTCAGCATTTGGGAGAAATTAATGACTATTAAAAAAAGTGAAATAAACCCTCTTCCAAAAATATACTGGATAATACATGTGTCTGAATTTTATACTGTTCATCTGATGAGCCCTTTACGTTATGTGATATCACATACAGTTTTTGCAAGACAAAATTTATGGACTGTTTTTCAGCTTCTGATTTGTGAGCCCTCAGGGTGTCCAAGAACAGCAAGCTTCTACATGCCATGCAGCAACCTAACAACATAGGTTTCAAAAGGGTCTCTATTTAACAGGGAAAAAAATAATCTAGAGAAGTCTACAAATCAAAAAAGGTAGAAAATACTGTATTGGAAAACCCACTCAGGTCTTAGTGTCCTGGAGGGAAAGTTAACCTCAGTTTAAAAACAGAAAATACATTAGTCAGTATTTTGCTAATTTTAGAAACTGGGCCTTGAATAATGCAATTATCAGTTGTTTTTGATTAAGAACAAGTTTAAAATTGCAGACTACAGAAAATTCTTCAAATAAATGAACACAAACTCCTCCCTTTGTCATCTAACACCAAGTATGTACCATATAAATAACATCTGTACTACAGTACTCCTTGTATAGATCAGTGATTTTCAACAGGAACAGGATTTCATTTTAGTGTCAAGCAAATAATTAAGATTTTAGTTTACATCTTGTTTAAAGTTTTTAACATAGAGGACAATTAGTCCTGCAAAACCAGTTAGCACTCTGTTCCTGCTGCAAGTCATGACTACTGAAAACATTATAATCTTAAACCCCCTGCCCCACCAAGTTTTCTCACAGTCTTGCCCAGAAACCCATGTAGCCACAGAAAGTTTGTAAATCTATTTTCTGGGAGGAGCAGGGAAGATATTAAATAAGAAAGTGTCTCATCTAATGAGGAAAGGAAAGGCAAACAAAATCAATGACTAGTTTTCACAGTAAAATGCATCAGCTTTGTAGTTTCATTTGAAACCAAGAACAAATCATGAAACGTCATGAAAATAAGATAAAAAAATCTCCTAGAGTGATTACTAAATGAAGTTATAATTACCACACTGATCAGTAAACCCCAGAAGAAAAGCAGATGCCTCATATTGTAGTTTCTATATTAAACAGTATCTGCTTTTTAAAATAAATCCATAAAATCTGTATGTTTGGCCGCTTTGCACATTTTTCCCCTAAAAAATACAGTGTACAGAAAAAAAATCTCATTATTCCCAGTATGAATTCTTAAGTATAAGCTCAAAACCCAGAAGTTAAAGATCACTAAAAGAATTTTAAATTATTTACAAATCCAGCAGGTAGAACTACCATAATGGCTTCATTTCCATCCTTGTAGTGGCTTTCACTCTTATCCAGCAGCATCTGCAGTAGGAATCTCCTTCAGACAGCTTCATCACTGATCATCTGTCATTTTAAGCAATTCTAGAAGAGCCCCAACAGCTCCAAAATAACCCTTTAAACAAGGCAAAGGGAAACCAAAACCAATCAAATCCCAAAATAAGACATAAGCATGAACATGTACAGTCTGTTAAGGCAATTTAAAGACCTTTCTTATAAGACTGCTGTGCCAAGTATTTACTTTAATATGATCTTGTTTAGGTCCAAGAAAAGGCCTTATACCATGAGACATCTCACACAGTTGTCCAAAATCGCCAAAAAAGAAGGAACTACAGAACCACTGTAATGATGCTGGACTGAAATAGGGCAATTTCCATTATGAACACATCCACCTGATATTTATCTCAAAATTGTGCTTAAAAAATTAGTTCTAGTTCAGATTTATATACCAGACCATGCAAAAGAACATTGCTGGTAACTAAGGTCAGAGAGCAAAAATAAGAGATGTGCAATGTTCAGCAACAAATACCATGAGATTAGCGATCAAGCCAGGGAGTTAACAAGGGATATTTTCAAATGAATGTGTAATTATATTGATGCTGAATTTAAGTTTGTGCATTCACTTCAAAGCAGTTAACACTGAAACTCTCCCTTTTAACTTCACCAAGAACCACAAGATTTTTGGAATTACAAAGAAAAGTTTGACATGCATTTCCTTACCTCGTGTTCCAAAAACAGAGCTTTCAGCTGTCCCTTGGACCAATAATCCATTGCATATGCTAGCACCTTCATAGAAATCATATTAATTCTGAGAAAGTTGCCAACAAAAACCACCTTGTCGATGTTCTGTAAAATTGAAAACCAGACCAGAAAATTTATATTCAGCTACATTATTTGCCTCATCCAACATGTACTTCTACCTCCACTATAAAGTTAAATGGGAATTTTAGGTAACATTTAAATTCTCCAGACTGAAAATTAATCACAGTTACTGACTGCTAAGTCGAGATTTTGCAAGAGAAAAAAAAAAAAGAAGAGTTATCCAAAGAAAGTGAGAGGCTGATACCAGAGATGCTGAATATGGTGAATGTTTGCTTAAAAGCCCATGGCCATCCCAACATGAACAGGGTTATGATTGCCTTGCTGTATTTTGGGGGGTGGAGGGGTTGTGGCTGTTTGGGTTTTTCAGGGGGTGTGTGTAGCAGGGGTATTTTTAAATCATATATGACTATGACACGGCTGCACTGAAGACATCTTTCCCCCATTTGTTAAATGAGGCAACTTTTCAGTGATCACTATGATTATTAAATGCAGATGGACAACCTCTGAAGGGTATCCAAGAAGGATTACATTACAGATGGGAAGAAGCATCTTTCATTATCTATTATCTCAACTTTGGTTCCATTTTCAAAACGCAAGTGAAACATGGCCAACATGATATTTGAATATATTGCATTCCTTTATTTCAAAGCTCACTTGTACTCAGTTTTCATACAGAAGCTTAAGATTTTTGAACAATCAGCACTACACTGTCATTAAGAAAGCCACACACTATCATTACCTGTACACACGCCAGCACATGTAAGCAACAGTTCTGGTGCTTAAGCAATACCCATAACTATCTTCTCAAGCCACCTTTTGCCTGCTATACACAAAAACATACTTGCATTTTGAATTGGTGTACCATATGATGTTCACCATACAGTCAAATTTGTCTAGAAGACTCAGTAGGAGGCCATAAGGCCATCTTGGAGACAAGCTTTTACAGGAGTCCTGAAGGAGCTCTACAAATGTGTCTTCTAGAGTTCTCTGCTGAAAATTAGCATCAAAAATCTGCACAGGCTAGAATTACCAAGTGTTGCTTCTCTATGTTCATTCAGCTCTATAAAGCCCAACACTCGGCTTTGCAGCAATTACTCTCCCTGCAGACCACAGTTTTGTCATGTCCGGTACTGTGCATGTGACATACCACAGAGAACATCTTCACTTGAATACTCAGAGTGTTAATAGCCAGATGTAATCAATCATCCATTCATCCAGTCTCTGATGACTGAGTTACATGTCTGATTGTCCTCAAACCAAACATCAACACAAACTTTAAATAATTCAGAGTCATCTATCCCCATAGACCCTGCAGCCACACAAAACATATTCATACTTCTTCATGGGACCTTTTATGACTGAAAATAAGAACTTCTCAATTTTCAACAGGCTGCTATTAAACAGGGCCGAGAGCACTCTGCATCCTCTGACAAGGCAGTTTTGTCTCTGAAGTAATTTCTGACAAAGGAGGGACATGTAACTAATTAATTGCCTATAATGCAATGCCATCAAATTTATTAGAATCTACATTTGGATTTCATTTTCATGAATTTGTATTTTTTGCTGAATGCACACAAGTTACTGTTACCAAAAATCCAACACTGAATACCTACCACTGCATACAGAAATCACAGAAAATTTCAAATTTAAAAATACTAGTCATAGCTACTAGAATTGGAGAGTATATATCAACATGCAAATTTTGTATCAATTTCATTTTCCAACATTGCTTGACTTCACCAGGTTAAAAATGATGCTAAAAGTTTTCTAGGGTTTTGAACTGAACTAAAACCAGCTTTGGCATATTTCAGGAGTCAAAAAATGAAGAAATGCTACTTTCATCTCCTAACGGAGTCTTGCCAATTTACTTTTAAATTGTTCACTGCTGAAACATTCAAAGCTGAAAGAAAGAAGTCTTAAACTGATGAACTGATAGTGATGAAATGACTAAGCTAACTAAATTACAACATCATGGAAAAGACTCTTTCACTTTGTAGGGTCTTGCTAACTTGTTCAACTACCCTACAGAAGAAAGCTATAATATAGCTTCAATATAGTACACACACATATTTCCAATATAATTGAATAGGGGAATCTGTATCAAAGATGCAATAAAAAATACCCTCCTGCACATGTTTTTGCAAGAAGCCTCATTCAGATGCAACTTACATGTTCTGCTAGTAAGGAAAGTATAAACCAGGGAGACTGGTTTCCTTTATGCAGTTCTCCTGTGCCTAAGACAGACTGTTTCAAATGATGTGCAGCCAAATGGTTCCAGACTATGGAATTTTTCTACCCCACTGCCAACTTTGTGCAAGCAAACTTTGCTTTGAAGTTCTGCAGACAAAGTATTTCATTTATTCCCCAGCCTCATTTTTTTCTGCACATATGCAAGTAATTTTCAACACAATATTAAAGCTGCAAGCATTGAAAAAAAAAACCCCGAAAACCAAAACACACACCCAAAAACCCCCATCCAACAAACAACCCAAAAACAAAACAGAAAACCAACCCCCAAACAACAAACTAAAACCAACTTATCAAAACTCATGCTTCAGGGCATAAACTGATTTTGACAACTTAAAAGTGAGATTTACCGTAACCCTAATCTAATACAGAAAAGCTCCACAAAAGAATATATCATATTCGACTGCTTTTTTAATCTCTTATTTAGGCATTTCATTCATCAAGCTTGGTGAGAGTAAGAGCCATATCACCCAAAAGTAGTTTTGGTGTCTAGATTATTTAGAAAACAATGGCATTACTTCCCCCCGCCCCTGAGAGCAAGCTCTCTGGAGATCAGCTTACTTGCAATGATATATCATGTTTGAATTTTCTAATAGTATGTAAAGCTACTAAATGAAGGTTTCATTCTCTAAAGCTACAAAATAACTTAGCACATGTGTTGGAGAAATTACATTTTGATATTGTTTGCAAAATGAAGAATGCTTTACATATCAATCTACATTCCTCCACAAAGTTCTGTGGATCATGTTCAGTTTTTAAGTAAAGCCTGTCCACAAAACAAAGATGTTAGGAACTTTTTCACAGTGACTCAGAAGCATTCGTTTCATTAGCAGCCCATTTCCTCCTCTGAATGCATCACATGTAGTTCCCTGCTGCAACTCTCCATGCTTTGATAGCCCTGTACAATGCTGCTTGAACTCCATGCCACAAGGCAACACTGTAAAGAAGCTGAAAGCAAAGAGAACACTGAAAGAGAATCATCCTGACTGAAAGAGTCAAATTGCCCAAAAAATAATGTCTGTAGCCACTCTTCAGGAAGAAGGGAGGTTATCAGTGGCATTTGATAGAGGCAGACACTAAGATTTGTCCTGTTCAATATATTTTAAAAGTGCTCTACAGAGGAATATCAGCAACAAACATAACAAGCACTGGCAGATATTCAGGAAAGTCAGGATAAAAAAAAAATAACAGCACAGCAATGCTGAAGAGACACACAGTGGCCAAGGAATAAAATAACAGATGAAGTTTAAGTTAAAAAAAAAAGTGAAATGACACAGAAGGGGGGAGAGAGACTTCAGTATTCAGACACAATGATAGGCTCCAAATTAGCTACCCCCAATCAAGACTGTGGAGGGACTGTGGATGGTTTCCTAAAAGTGATATCCATGGTCACAAAAATCAAATATTAAGAACTGTTAGTAGAGGAAGTCAGAATACTGAATTTATCAGTATGGCATCACACAAATTCACTGTGCAAACACACTCTGAATACTGCATGAAGATCTGATCATTCGATCTCCAAATCAGAACCATACAATATTAAAAAGATAAAATAGCAGGTGGAAAGGCCTAGAGAGAGACATGGTAAAGGTTTATTAAAAAACAAAACCAAACCCCACCAAAAGCAATATTTGCTATTTCTCATAAAACAAAAAGCTAGATAGGACCCAGTAAAGTAATCAGATGGCAGTTTGGTGATTCTCCTGGGTTAGTTTTATTAGGGTTTTGGAGGGCTGTGTGGGTGTATTGTTGATTAAAAAAAAAACAAACTAGAAGCACTTTCTTCTAAACAAAAAATGCTATGGAGCTCAAGATATTAAGTATTAAAAAGAGATTTGATAAATTAATTGAGAGCAGATAACGATTAATTACCACATAATAGTAAAGGATGTAATTTGCAGCTGAAAACAAGTGCCTAAAGCACTTGGGGCTTTTTTTGTTTGGTTTGGTGGGGTTTCTTTCTTTGGTTGGTTGTGGTTTTTTGGGTTTGGTGGGGATTTTTTGAGTTTGGTTTGAATTTTTTCTGGGGGGTGTTATTTTTCTGGGTTTTGGTTTTTTTTGGGGGAGGGGTGTTTTTTAAACTGCTAGAAGCTGGAAAGGTGTATGAATGGAACAATCCATCTCTAGCTATCATTCTAAAGAAAATCATGCAATAGCATTTGATAGGAGTTTGAGGCAGGATAATAACCTATACTTTTTTTCTTTCTGACCCAATACAATGGATCTCGTATCTAACCATTTAAAACAATATGCAGTTTAAACCCATCATGCTATTGAAAGCAGTCAAACAAAATGCTATTAAAAAAAAAAAGTATCTGTCATAGGTAAGACTGTTAGTAACTACAAGGTAATTGGGAGTATTAATTTTGATTACAAAGGTGTTAATACACTACGTATTACATACAGCTTGAGAGCAACTGAACAGCTCTAGGCATCAATGGTTCAAGGAGATCTTTACATTCAACTTTTCTTCTTTTCTCCCTAACTCTGAAGCTCAAAGTACCTTACACTTTGCATCAAAGCATACACATAACACAAAGTTAGGACATCGCGTTAAACATATGCATATTTCCCAAGGCCAGCTACATACCTGCTATATCACCAATTTGCATTTTCGTATTCTGATAATCTTACTATGTTGTTTGTAAAGGTTCTAAGCTCATAGTAAATATGCACTCTTACCTCATTCAATGCGCACATGCGAGCAATAGAACCTATGTTGTTGGTGATGGTGACCAAAGTAGCTCTAGCCAAGTCCTCTTTACTGATGGAATCTCTCTTTTCTTTACTCATCATATGACCAAAGCTGTGTAAGGAAGATTATTCCTTTTAATATGAGTTATTCAGGAGTGCTTAAAGCCCTTATAAATTTTATCATTTAGTAAGCTTTGCTTGGATTTGATATCCATTGATTTGAGACAGACCTGAAATGTGAAAAGGGATCTCATTGGAAAGGCACAACAATGGGCAAAGACATGTCTAAAATAACTGTAATTTAAATTGAAGCAAACTACACCAAGCACTGCTTACACTTGTTTTTTAAAAAAAAAAGAAGGAAGTAGGTGAGAGATCTAAGGGCAAACAACATGATACATTCAGAGTGACATTTCCACATGGACCTAGTACATAGTTCAGGGATTACGCACTCAGCTCAGCATGCACAGTAAGTTTCCCAAGGAACAACTAAAACCAGCTCAATTAACACATACCTTGAGGCTACAGCAGACCCTTGAAGGCCAAACCGCTCATAGTCTCCTCCGTAAATATCCTTCACCAGCTTATCCACATTGGTGCTGTCTCCTTTGGCAGCCATTTCTAATGCTTCTTCAAATGTCTCACAGCCAGTCAGCAGACAGCACAGGCCCAGGAATGTTCCTCCTCCAAGACTAGAAAAGCACAGTTCCATCAGACCAGCAGCTTGAACCAACTTTTAACACAGCCCTTCAGACTCCTGTTTGCAATATGGTCTAGATAGCTACCAACTGTAACTTATAACTCCTCCTTCAGAGCAGTGAAGACAGACACCCTGAATTAAGTTTCCATTTAACAAATGTCATCCAGCATGGTTTTAACTGAACTGCTCTTAAGTCCTTAATATTTAAATCAGAGAAATGATACTAAATAAAGGGTTAGCTGAGAATAAAGTCCAATCCAACACTGCAGATGTCAGCTTGCTATTTGTAGCACTCTAGTAAGCTGCCCTTGCGCAAGAGTAATTGGCCAGCAGATCACTTAAGACAGTGATGAAAGAATAAATAGAGATCAAACCTAAATATCTACACTGGGGTAGGCAGCCAAGACAGATCTTGCCCCCCTAGCCAGCGGCAGTCTGATTGGTTCCTGTTCAGAGTAAGGCTAGTATCAGCTGTTAACATCTCAGCCCTCTGAAGAGCTCTTCTTCAAGAAGAAATCAGTCACTTTAATATCTTGCACAGGCTCAAGTACAATATTTACTGACTACATAAATTTAGCAGATTGGTAACTCATTCATAAAAATTCTACTTTGGACTCTCTAGTCTTAACAGAGATGAACTTCAACTTACTAAGCTCTACATCCTTCCTCATTCTTTTGTAACCCTTGAGAAAGCTACTTTATTTGCACTGATCGCAGTCACACCATCTGTAGCCACTTTAAATGAGAGGACCAGTGAGACACACACGTGCACTTCACAAGAAAGTATGGGTGGTCAGATAGAACACCATTTAGTCACAACAGTCTAGCAGCACTGTAATATATTCAGTATTTGAACAGCAGCAAGCTCTGTACACCAGCCACAAGACAGGACTTATTTCATCATCTATAGTAAGTCAGCAACCTACTGCAGTCATGTTTTTTCTTTCGTAGTAGAAAGGTGGGAAGCACATCTACAGATACTAAAAGTGCTATGCTTGAAAAACAATCAGAATTGCAAGAAAACTGATGCCTCTTCCATTCAACTTGTGTTCATCTGCATCGTAAACAGAAAAACAGCTCGTGGCTACCATGGCGGCAAAGATATGCCCTAGATAAGCCAACAGAAGACACATAGGCAGTCATGTGCACTATATAGGAAAAGCTTTATTATATGTACCATGCACTGAAGAACAGAATGCAGTTTGGAAGGGACTACAGCAAACCCAAAAAGATTCTTTGGTGGTTGTTTTGGAATGGGATTTTTATTTTTTTATTTAGGTTTCCGTTTTGGTGGTTTGTTTTTAAGATTACAAGATTACTAAAAATGAAGTGTATCAATTTGGTTTGCATGTATGAAAAAAAGTGGGTTAGATTTATAGATACTTTTACTACTAGCCTGGACATATTTGTAACCAAGTTGTTTCCTATAAGTAAGCATGGTTGCCACCTCTATAGTGTGAACTTAAACATGCCTAAGGCTGACTTTTGGCCTTGAGAACAAAATTCTGCATCCACACTACTGAAATCCTGGACTCCTAAACAGAGCAGTCACATCTAAATTTATTATGGAACGTAGCCCAGAGACAATTTCAACTCAGCTGTACCTTACAAGCCATTTCAGAGAGCACTAGCTAAGGGAGGCTAAAATCACGCTAAGAACAAAGTAAGAATACAGACAATCAGGTTCTAGTCTTTACATGATGGCATTTCTTAATTTAGCAGCATGGTCCAAAGACTAGTGCAATCGGTAAGGAAACAAGAGATCTAGTGAGATCCCTCCGCCAAAATCCAGTAGTACCGGGTAATTCTGCAAAGTTTTCCTATATCCTGGATTCAACCTAACTACTAAGCAAGAGGTTATTGTTTAACCCCAAAACTTTTCTTTCACTGCTCTGGCTGTTCTGGGGGATCAAAGCAGGGGAAAGAAGATTCCTTTACCAGGACAGCTTTATTTTGGTAGTTCACAGCAAGAGACAGAATGTAGGTAAGAACACCAAGAAGAGACTAAGCTCTAAAGTTGAATGGATCAATGATTTCCTGATATAAAGACCCCTCCCCCCCCCCCCCCCGTAAGAATCCTAGGATATTTCCAGCCTTGGTACTGGTAGGCTTTTAAAAGAAATAAAAAGACAAGCACAATTTGGGGCTGCACCTACTAGTCACACTGATTGGTTCTATCTGTTCAATTAGTAGAGAAAACAGAATTAAAAGAACATGCAATTAAATTTACCTGGATCCTGTGACTCTCTTATAGTTGTCCTTAGAATAAACAGCTAGGATGCTGACCCCTGAGCCTATGTTAACCAGCAGCATAGGATATGGATTATCAAGGCAGTAAGGTTTTTTCTGGCACTGTTCACGATCTGTAGGATTTTCAAAATAATAGCACTCTGGCTGGCCATTGAAACCAACAGAATCAACATAAAGGAGGCCCTGGATCAAACAGTCCAATTCATCCAGTTTATGAAGCTGTAGATCAGCAATCTGGAAAACAGCAACAGGAAATTAATAAACAAACACTTCCTAGTATGATACAACACTGAGAAGGACAAAAGGCTCTGCTGAAGCACTTTGATCACTTTAATAGTAACACATTATGCTATTTAAACAGTACAAAGATCTGTGTAAGCATGAAGTCCAAAATAAAAAGTTTGTTATCCACCCAACAGTGGGCAACTCCCAAAACAATGACATGCTGCACAGTAACATCGCCTAGCTCCTTTGCCTTTGAGACATTCCCTGCTCTGCAAGCAGGAAACATTCCGTTGTCCTGCCCTCCGTTGTGTGTCCGTGTCGTGTCGTCGTCGTCCCCCCCAGTATTCTGAAGCAATAAATTTCTTTCTCCCCTTATCCCATGCCAAGGGGAGCTGTGTTCTGCAGCTTTTGGACAGGATGCAAAGTGCTATATCCAAGTTATCATCCAACTACATTTCCCAGCAATTCAATGAAATTTTTAATAGAAACTTTAAGAGCAAGAAACTCCAGTTAAAGAAGATAAAGCCTTACGAAGTGCACATTTATGTTAATATGCATTAAATATGCAGTGAGTTATGCTTATATGATCTGATGTTTTCCCAGTATGCATCAGCAGTAATCTAAGAGAGCTATTTTTATTAATTATTTTTATTTATTATTTTATTAATTATTTAATAATTATTATTTATTAATTATAAGATGCCTCAATATAAAAAAAAAAAAAAAAAAGAAGAGGATTCCCTATGTTTGGTGAAAAACAATGTAAAAAAAACCCACAACCAACCAAAAATACTGTCAGGCCCATGCCCCCAGCAAAATGTTAACAGAAATACAACTGTGACAGAAGGCAGAAAAACAATCATAAGAGCTTCAAAGGACATGCCCTCTGAGATCTCACAGGTCATCTGTGATTGTATTTAAGCAGACGTGCCTACTTGCCATAGCATTCTGTTTACTAGAATTAGAAACTGTATCCCTTTCTTGAAATAGGACACAGTGACAATCTGTTTAGAAAGTCTCCTTTCCAGATGACATTGAGTTTTGACTTATGTTAGGGAGAGGAGAGGGAGGGAGGAAAAAAATAAAATAGTAGCTGTCCATCCAAACCCTGCGGTCATTTGCGTCCCCAAAAGCAGGTCTTACCCAACTCCACTTTCTAGCAGAAGAAGCTACAGGCTATTAGGAACAAAAGGAATTTGTAAGTAGAAAGCTGTTCTCAAACATTTGCATATTTCAGGATGTTTTTATAACAGCTAATGGAAGAGATTTACAAGGCTAACTACCTCCTATTTTTAATTCTGAAAGCTATATTAAGTCACTATAGAGAAGCAAGATATTTCTGTGGAACGGGCATGGCCAATAGGTTACATTCTTTTGAGCTACTTAAATCTCTCCCAGGTTTTTTCTCTACTTGAACATAGCTCTAACTTGCCTTAACTGAAAGCCATTCTATTCTTTGCATCTGCCTTTTTGTTACACTTGTTAATCTTCAAACCCTAGAAACATAGAAAAGAAGTAAAACCAAAAAACCCCAAACTAGCAGTCTCAAAGACCTCAATATATAGATCCAGTTCTTCATAGGACAACAGAGGAAGGTGGAGACAATGTCTTTTTAAGTATTTCCTCCTGCAACTTTTAAAATCCATTTGTATTTTTTTCTTGAAATAATTTTCATTTATTATGAAATAATTTTCATTTATTACCACATGGCTACACAAGTTACAAGCCCAGAAGTGCAGCATAAAAGACTTAAACCACTTAGCCAACAAATAAAAAGAATAAACACAAATCGGAAGAAAAGGTTTTTAAAGAAACATTACAAAAATCTTTAGGCTGCTTCAAAAATATCATGTATTTCAGTAATTTCTCGCTATTAGACTGAGAGGAAAAGCTCCAATCAAGAGATACACACTATGAGGCATTAATAAAATAAATGCTTCATGCACTATCTTTCACCATGAACATTGTGAGCCCAATGAGTCATCACTTGTTAGAGGATTTGTTTTATTAAAACACAACTAACATTGCACAAAGCTCGTAAAAATAAGGAAAGATTCTATACTAATCATGATCTCTCTCTAGGTTATGTGCTGTATATTCGATTTCCTCATTTTACTGTGTAAGCTAGATGCAGCATGACCAAACATGACCTAATACAGATACAGCATGCATAAACATGCTATGAACCAGAATCCTGATATATAAAGACAAGCCATTAGTAGATTTACAGCCCCTACTGTCAAAATCTCCATTCTCTCATAAGCCAAACACACAGCCACAAGCTGCTTTTGTCTCATCCATGTTATACCTTTACAAATAGGTTAAGCATCAGTGAGAGACCCTGCAAGACACGAGCCAGCAATATAAATCTAAGAGGAAAACACTTCTGGTGTCAGCATAAAAACACAGACAAAATCCTGGTTTCTACAAAGTCTCCACTAAGACCACCAATCCTGTAAGGACAGAACAAAAAACCCTAATCAAAGGTTCTTTTTCAAGCACTAAGCATAGCAGTTTTATTAGGTCCAGCCGTCCATGTAAAAAAGACATACTAGAATCTGTTCTGCTTTTTATAGCTCTGTGCTATATTTAACAGCTGATATACTGTAAGCAGAAAAGCCTTGCGATTGCTTTCTTTCATGTATGAGATCCATAGACAGAAAAACTATTTCCCTGCATTGTTGCAGCAGTCTGGTTTTCGTTTTTGGGAGGAGCAAGACTGGCATCAGTATTCCATGTCAACCCACCTTCATTCAGAGAACCATGAACTCTGCAGCCACTAGACCTCTGCGGCTCCAAACAGCCCAGTGAGCTACGACTGCTCTTATTTCTAAACACAAATGAGGGCACAGTTGCAAGAAATGCTGTAACCCAGTCTTGAACAATAAGTCATGATAAAACAAGGGTCACAATTCCCAAGACTTTTCCCTGTATATATAACTGCCTTCTCTTTATTTGTGTCTTTGCTCAAGCAGCAGAACTGTACCACAAAATAGATGTGCCTGTAAAGATGATAACTGCTGTGTGATTAGGCAAATTGTTAGGGTGTTTTCTGGTGCCGTGATCTGACCTACCACACCCTACTAGTCCTCATCTTTCAGTTGTTCAAACTGCTGCTTCTTGAGGGAACAAAATTTAAGGTGCAAAAGTGCAGAGCAAAACCAGGAGCTGTGTGTAGAAGCATGTTTTAATGTTATGTTTTTTTTTTTTTTCTTACTTTTTACAAAATGCATTTGCAGATAGCTTCCAGCCCTTTACAAACCCTAATGTGAGGGCAGAGAGCATGATGGTCAACTTATCCTACTCTGTACTCCTGTAACTATGTGACTATCCAGAAAAGATTTATGTCAGAAAGTTGTGCTGTGCAAGGAAAAGCTGAAGAGCAAAGCAGCATACAAGACCCTGGAGGGAAAATTGATGATGGTTACAGGGAAACCATATGTACATTTCTTACAAGACCTATTTTTCTGCACTGCAGAAATTCCTCTTTATTTTAGACTGCTTTTTAAATACTGAGGTAAGGGAAAGAACAAAACACTTTGAATCTCTCACCAAATTCTTCAGCACCATCAAAAGGAGGGACTTGGGACTTCAACACAAGCAAGTGCAAGACAGCAAGGAAGCAGTGAACACATCTATGCACCCTAACAGATCAACACTGGTGTACAGACATTTTTCAATGAAATTCCAGCCCAAGATTTCACTCAGTTTGAATTTTCAGGTACCAAGTTCTGATGAGCACAGAAATGTCCAAACCTACACGCAGTAATGAGTTCATCTGTCTCTTGGACTTTCAATCAGACACATGATTTTTTTTTTTCCTGTAAGAAATTGTTAGGAACTAACATCTTGCAAGTTTTTAACTATCAATTACAACAGCCTCATTTAGTATATCACTGGGGCTTTTATATGCTTTCTGGGCATTGTGCCAGTTTTTATTTCTTATAATAGCTTACAGCCTAGCTTTTCCTTCTATCTCCCTCCCATTACGGATCCTCCACTTTCATAAAGACATACTTTTCTTCCTTTAGATTTTTATTGTCTTTACCTCAACTGCTAAACCTGCTTCTTTTTGAGCTCAAATGAGGCACTCCCCCCGCTGATTCCACACCCTGAGGGTGGGAAATAGCCACTCACATTCAAACAAGACAAAGTATAATGCAAATAAAGGGTAAGCCCAACTTTGCTGAGGCATAAAAAAACCAACTAGTCTGGGATCTTCTGCAGAGAATCTGCCCTCTTGCCCAGCTAGGTGTAAGAATAGCTTCCCTCTCTTGGCAGGTGCCAAGATGCACACTGCTTCTCCCCACTCCTACTGAAGAGTCTTCCAGCAATCAGTGGGAAGTCCAGTGGTGGTAACAGAAGTTAACCACACTTATTTCACTCATTCTTTAGATGCAGCTTTCAACTCCAGCCCAGTCTACACACTACAAGCCAGCATCTATGGCCTGAGCAGCACCACTCAGCCTCCTCCAAGCAAGTGAGGTGCAACAAGATTTTTGACTGAGTTACACTAACCTAGAGTTACACAGCTTACTCATCCTACAACACAGGACAGTAAAATTTCTATAGGTGTTCAGTAAAGGGATACAAAGATCGCACTGCAACAGAAAGGAATTTTGCAACAGAGCCGGTTTAGGCAAAAGTCTGATTAGTCCATTCTCCCCTCATCCTCCATGTATCCTTTACATTCAGCTGCTTTAAAAAACTGAGTGACAGCTTATTAATTTATTCCTCATTACATTAACAGCATACTTTTGCACAAGTAATGTGACAGAGGAGTCACAAAGTATAGAGATTTTTATTACAGGTATATAAGCATAGATACTCCTTATTTTTACAGAACTGATGTTACTTAAGCATTTACAGTTAACAGTATGTAACTGGGTAAAGATTATCAGAATTAGATGACATATCAACATATTCATCTATGTTTTAACACCACTGTTACCTGAAAGTAAAGTCAGCCAGACATAAAAACCAGTTATTCAGAAAGGAAGAAAAACCAAACAAAACCCAACAACAAACAAACCAAATCAAACCAAAAACCTGCTCTAAGCTGGAAACAGTCCTTCAGTGCATTACTTACCGATGTTGTTCAATGAGTATAACCTTCTAGTTGGTAAAAATGATTTCTGTGGTCCAGCTTAATGAATAGAGTGCTTCTAGGGGAAGCATTCAGATCTTAAGAATGAATTAAATGATTTGCCAGGCTACTGATTGTTATTGCTGGCAGTTACCATGCAGTTCATGGAGAATTCTCCAGGTCTCCTACTATTCAACACTGTGGATCACATAAGAGGGAGATCAGATAGCTAAACCTAGCTATCTTTGTAGATTTAGTTGCCTTTCTATGGCACATAAGACAGGCTTAAGGTAAACAGAAAACACCTCCCTATTTTATTTTGTAATACACAAAAGAGATGTCTAGACCAAACCTATTTAACTCATTTAGGGATTTGAAATTAGACACTGGAACAGGTGAGGAACAACAGGGTGCTTGCTTGCTTGTCTACTTTAAGGAGAAAAAGTTGCTGTTATTTTAGAAGGATTCCTTATTTGGGATTTGAATGCTGTTTTGCAATATGCTGGATGATTTGTCCTAAACTTATGCAATCCTGAAAGTCCCATAAGCATTTAGAAATACCATAAAAGACAAATAACTTAAAATCATGTACATGGAGAAATCAAAAGCCAGAACAAAAGCACGTGATCTGTATCAGTTTCATGAGTTTCATAACATTTAGTCAAAATTTCTCATGAAATTATCAACATTCACAAATGTACTTCAGTTTTTCCACGTCACTTCCAAGTAACAGAAACAAGAATATTTAAAGTCTCTTCCATATAAGGCATTATACAATATTGAATCCTGCAACAGAAGGACTTGGCACGTACTCTCCACTTCAGCAGGTGCATTAGAGTGATCAAATATTTGAAACAGACATTTCAATGCTTTGAAAGAGCAATCCTGAAGCTGTTGTCCAATGTCAATTTACAGTCAGCAGAACACACTGAGATAGCCAGGTGCTGTTACAATGGCTAATGGAGTATGACAATTTAAGTGCTAGTACCCAGGACACTCAGCCCTTTGAGACAGATTAAGCAAGCAAGCCTTCATGTAATGGATAGTATTGTGCTTCTGTGATACTCTATGGGTATTACAGTGAGCCAACAAATACTTCCTATAAAGGAAGGTGTGGATCTAGGTAGCTGTAAGAAGAGATGTCCAAAGCACTCACATAGTTGTGAGTGCACTTCACTGACTGCTACAAAACATCCCAGCCAGCTTTTATGGTGTTTTTCTTAAACTACCTCTTAAGTGTTGCAGCACACAGAATGTTAACCAACACTGCAGTGATATGGGATTCATGCTTAAGTCTGACAGTAATTTGCTACATGACCTCATATCTTTGCACAATAACTAGCAAAACAGCTCCAACTTCAGTTATGGCTTCCAGTGCTACATTAATTATATTGCAACAGAGATTACAGAGAGTTGTCCCTCACTGTAAGCTGCATATTTATACCAGATAAAGCCAAAGCTATGGAGAGAAATGCCAAGCTGTGATAGCCACCAGGTAACTTCCAGTTCAGTTCTACTGCTGGGGGAGCAAGGGTCATGAACTTGCTTGTCAAGTAAGCAACTCTAGCTCCTAGTACAATATATAGGAGAGAGGAATTTGGGAAGACTGACCATTCCAAAGGGATAGTCAGCCTCTTCAGAAAGTCTCAAAGTGACCTCTCATTGTTACTACAGAACATGACCTGAATCATTCCGCAGACACGTGGAAGGATGCTTGGAAACCTGAACTGATACCACACTGACTAACACTAGAATTAACCTCCTTAATGTGGTGCCAACATCCTTACACATTGTGAGACAAACTAAAACTTTGGAGGACTCAGCAGCAGCAGACCCTAACATGAGGGACTTGCAACCAGCCTAAAGGACAAGAAATTTGTAACTAGCAGTGGACTACTACAGCAATTCAGAAACTTGCTAGTACTTCATAAGACTAACTGCTTCCATGTCAAAAATTTACTGAGGGTGATTATACAACACTATAACAGCTGGGATTCTTGCTGATCTTCAGCATTCTCTCTCCTCCTTAGGATCCTGTCATTTGTTAGGTGAGGGGTATTCACAAAGAAAAAATCTCTTGCACTGCAGGAATAGATGCTTGGAGTTAAACATGAAGCACACAAAGCCAAGGACTGCACTCAATTGCAGTTTCTGAATCAGTATGATAGCTCCCTAGACTGAAGCGGAGAGAGAAAAGGAACTGATGTAATCTGTCATTCCCAGCAGCCATCCCTCGCCCCCAAGATCAGGTCAAAAGTTAGGGACATAAATATCAGATCTGTCTGTCAAGTAAATCATTCACATTAATCTTAGTGAGATTGCTCTGGTGCAGGCAGATTAGTCATTCTTTTACAGAAAATAAATGGAGATATGCTCCAGTTGAGACACATACACAACAGGCAATCGTCTTTCAAATGACTAGTTCTAATACAGTTTGTACAATGGCTCTCTATGCCTCTGTCACCACAATCAATTTCTGCAGCGCACTCAGTGAAGTCATCTGGGAGTTAAGACTACTGCCGAAGTTTGTACAAACAGCAGCATCCCAATACATCAGATTTACACCACCTTCTGGAGTGCCTACAGAGGTTATTTTTAACTTCTAGAAGATCTGGGACCCCATCATCTCATGAACTGCTTTTCTTCATAATGCACTCCCAGAACTGAAATCAAAAGCTAGCTGCTACTGTTAAGTAAGCATGGTTTTCTGTTTAAGTTCGGTTTCACGTTTGGTCAAGTTTCTGTTTAATGTTTGGTTTCACCTTTTCTGTTTTCTGTGAGGTTTACTGTTAGGTAAACCTTGGACCACGCTTGGTCTTCCAGGTCTTGACTTATGTCTGCTTAAAGATCAGTACAAGGGGAAGGGAACCTCAACCTAATCTCCAGCCTGCATGGCTTCATTTCTGGTTTTCCGATACCTGTACTCTCAGGTTCCTGTAACTACAGGTTACAACACCTGTAATCTCAGCTTCTAGGTTGTTGTAACACACTCTCAGTTGATTATGAAGCATGTGATCATCACAGCTATACTCTAAAAAAAACAAACAACCAGCAGACCAACCCTCATTTTCTAAAGCTATCTTGCACGGTTAATACTTAGTAGAATACCCTCTTCCTGTCCCCTCCAAAATCTCAGCAATTCCACTAATTAACAAATGTGAATTAATTCTGTTAGTCTTAAACCAGTTAGGATGGACTTACAAAACAAGTTTTCTCTGAAAATTTCTACAGGACTCCTACAATTTTTTTTTCCCAAAGTACTTCCCACTGAACCCATATGAACCATTCACATACCGTTCTAAAGTCTTCCTCAAACTTGTAAGCTCCACCTCCTGTGGCACAGAGCGTAGTGTGCAAACTGGAGAAATTCTTTTCGCTACCCATCTGTATGAACCTGTGCATGGCAGAGCTGGGAAAGCGGATGAAGTGCAGGTTTCCTTTCCGTCCACACATAGTCAAATTTTTCAGTTCAAGATGGACATCACGAATGCCAGTTTTACCATATGCTGTATTGGAGGTCAAGTATTTCCTAATGCTTTTCAGATTTTCCACCTCTTCCTGCTCCTCTTCTGCAGTAATGTCCTTAGGTTCAAAGTAGACCAGTTTAACCAACGTTCCACCGATATCCATTCCAAACCATGGAAATGCTAAGGATGAGGGGAGAGAGAAAGTCACTATAAATATAGAGGTTACCCATATCACTTGAAGCATTTGCTGAAGGACAATTTAGTGCAGTCACAATGACCTCAGTTAAGAAAAAGAACAAAGAAAACCTCAAGATACTCTTTCTCTGGAGAAGTAGGTTTTAATAAAATGAAAGTATTTTTCCCAGGAAAACATTTATTCCTCAGACAGCACCTTATGACAGAGCACATTTATTGCATTTCACCCAATTGACTCCCGGCACCAGCTGTTAGAATAGACTAAGGAGGAGAGGAGAAAGAAACAACCAAACAGAAGAACAAGATTTCTCAAGTCACACTGCCACTGCATAACATCCACAACTGCCTTTCTAAGACCAGATGGAATTTCCACTGTCACAAGGCTCTGTCTGAGCAGCAATACTCCCATTATCCTGGGAGTCTCCAGACTTCAACCCTCCAGAACTAGCAGCTCTGTTGGAACTACACCGCTTGTATATATTAGCAGAGAGAGTAAGATATTTTAAGTTCCATATTTACCACTGACAATTGTTTTGAGAAAATATGAAACATACCCTTTGCTGTATGTGTTAGGCTATCATACAACTATACAAGAAATGCCACTATTTGCTTCTCAGCATATACAGAATCATAGAATAGTTAGGGTTGGAAAGGACCTTAAGATCATCAAGTTCCAACCCCCCTGCCATGGCCAGGGACACCTCACACTAAACTGTCACCCAAGGCTTTGTCCAACCTGGTCTTGAACACTGCCAGGGATGGAGCATTCACAACCTCCCTGGGCAACCTATTCCAGTGTCTCACCACCCTAACAGGAAAGAATTTCCTCCTTATATCCAATCTAAACTGCCCCTGTTTAAGTTTTAACCCATTACCCCTTGTCCTGTCACTACAGTCTCTAATGAAGAGTCCCTCCCCAGCATCCCTATAGGCCCCCTTCAGATACTGGAAGGCTGCTATGAGGTCTCCACGCAGCCTTCTCTTCTCCAGGCTGAACAGCCCCAACTTTCTCATCCTATCTTCATACAGCTTCATACGTATTTGCCACAGCCAGCCTAGATCAACCAAAGCCTTTGTTCTGCTAAGAGCAAGAGAAAATGAGTATGGAGAACCGCAGGCATAAAATACTAACTCGATTGGTGTACCTGCTCTGCTTGTATATACAAGCACACGTTTCAAATTGTAGGCCAAGTAACTTTATAAAGCAATAAGAGGTGAGAATATAAAATCTACATACAGGTACTGCAAAGGAAGGCAGCTAGTAATGTTGCTAAAGAAATGAAATGAAAAGTATTGAGCATGTGGCTTAACATCCAAGATATATTTCTAAAATAGGAGTCACATAGTCACTTTCCTGCTTTTAGGGACAATCAGGCAGACTTGCCAGAAGTGAGATTCTACCACCTAGGGCATCTCAACTTAGTGTTGCTACAAACTCCGAACCATGAATACCATTTACATTACTGATTTTTCTGCCAGTGAACCAAGATGTAAGCAATCTGGGGCAAAGATTTTAACTAGCATAGGAGGTAATGATCACAGTTTTCCTCACATCATCACAGATTACTATTAGGTTACTCAACGTTATGCTGAAAGGAGCTTAGAGTCTTCTACTTTTTACAAAGGTCTCAGCATCACTCTTGTCTGGCTGGCTAATTCAAACTTCAGTTTCACAATTGTCAGAACATTCCCCACCCCCTAAACCAATCCTTAAATGTCAGAGGTTTAAAAAGGTTATTTTGCTCCTTTGCTGTATGCCAAATAATTGAATCAGTTTCTCCCTCTTTCCCCAAGGACAAGGCAGACAAAATGCATAAACTCCAAGAAGTAGCTTGCTTACTGTTCAGTTTTTCTAAAAGCACCTACTCTTATCTGTTTTAACATCTAATTTCTTTTTCCATATCCTGCAAGCTGCAAGACACAAAGACACTAAGGCACTGAAGTGAAGTCTAATTTGATGTTTGGGAAGATACATACTATTTGGGAAGATACATACTATGCAGATGAACAAGAGCTCCCTGAAATAGGAAAAATGTAAACCAGGTGTTTTAAAAATAGGTTGTGCTTGCTTTTTTTTTTTTTTTTTTGGGGGGGGGGGGGTGGTGGGGGTATGGGTGTAACTCAAGCACTTCTGGAAGTACAAGGTAAATATTTAAGCAAGAGTGGTCTGGTCCACACTACCAACACTATAATGCAGCAGAGCTCAGGATGCCAATTGCATTAGTAATTTTCACAAATCTTTATTTAAGCTGCTGAGAACTTTAATTACTTGTCCCACTGGAACAGTAAGTCTCCTCCTCAGATGTATCTTAACTATGTAGGCAGGAATTTTAATTTTAAAAGTAGCATGGCTGGACTATGTGATACAGAACCACCCTGCAGCTAGATGTAAGTCAACTTCCAATATTCGACATCACGGGCATAAAATCTACCTGTACCAACAGTTGCTTTAAAGCTACAGTGTAGATTTTAAGAGAGGGAAGGAGCATTCCAGCCTCCTATCAAACACACATCCAACAATAAAAGCATTAAGTACTAACAGCTGAGAGCCCATAAATGACTGCCAAGACATTTATTTTATATCTTAACATTCTGAGGAATCATAAATAAATCATTAACAAAGAACAGGTGCTGTAGAAAACAATTCTTGACCGAGGTACAGATAATGCTCACATTTAAAAAGCAAGCAGAAATACCAAAACACTTTCTTTTTTGTTGTTGTTGATTCTTCTCTCTGTGAATCTAAGCTCCTTTCATTTTGTTGCAAGCCAAACAGAGCTGCAGAAAGAAAAGAACTTTGCTCTTAGAACTGCAGTTTTCTTCAGCACAAATAGAGAGCACAAGATCAGTCCACGACAACTAGTATTTTGGTTACACAGAACAACAGCTTAATTTTCTTCACAGTTTTTCACACCAGCTGTCTGTTGAACTCACTTGCAGCAAAGACAACTATTTTGACTGGTTGACCAATGAGGACAAAACCCAAGACTCAAAGCTCCTGACAAGTCCCACTGTAATTCATGTAACTTCCATAAAACTGGAGTGACAGTAGAAACACTTCTGTATTACAGTGATTAAAAGATTTTTTCATTGTACCTTTTGTTATTATTGTCACATGCCAAAATGAAACGCACCACTGAAGTTCTGTCACTTCGGTATATTCAGACACCCCACCTTAGCTGGTACATACACACTTCAACTTCCCTGACACTGCTGAATGCAGTGGTAATGGAAGCATACATGCAGGCTGCAAGGTGTTCCTGAGTTCTGCCACCTCCCTGAATACAGGCAGTAAGACCATACAGAGGCCACCAAAATTATTAGGGCCCTCACTACTACAGACTGGGGACATGAAGAAAGAAAGGTATTTATGTTGATACAGTCTCCATAGACTTGAGGGAAAATTGTGGAGTTTTTTTTAGGGCTGTTCAGATTTTTTGTTTTAAACTGGAAATTCAGCATTTGATTGATAACCAGACAAAACACTGAATAAAACTCAACATTTGTTGAGTACTTAAAAGCCAGAAAAGCAAGGAGGGGAAAGTGAAATCCATCATATCCACATCTTAGGCTGATAACAGTTATTCAAAATTGTGTGATTTACCATGAAGACTTAAGACACGGGATATGCTGCAGAGATGCTTTCACAGTGTAAAAAATGCACTTAACTAAAATTGTCTGGCAAGACTGTTATGAGCCAATTTCTCTCTTTTCAGCTGTCAGTACTGGATCAATGCAACCTATTACGGTGGCGAAAACACACCTATTCTACTGTATTGCTCTGTACTGCTACATAGCAGTAGGTCATAAAAAGTAACACCACTATAAAATCTAAGACCCATGGAACTGATACAGAAAGTGTCAAGATAAATTATGCATTCTTAAAAGCCTAGCATAAACCAAAGACTTTACTTACCTTAAGAAAATTAATTCTCTTTATGCTAATAAGCTGCACCAACTACTTACTGGCTTGTTATCTTGAGTTAAAGATCTCCATTACTCCAAAATCTGCTGCACAAGCATGTGACAATGCAAACAGAAGGTATCAATAGCATTGCATAATTAGGTAATCTGATGCACACCGACAGCTGTGCTATCTGGGGGAAAGGTTCACTCATGAGACACTCCATGACATATTTTACCTAGTTTCTGTACAAACTTTGAAGGGTATGAACCTAGAGAGCTATTCCTGTAAGGCATTATTACATTCACAATTGAACACATTTGATTTTTAAAAACCCTGCCTTTAACACACAATGTAAGGAGAGGGGTGAGGGGTAAATACCAAATCACAACCTGCTCCACATGGACAACAGCTCAGGGGAAGGGAGAATGAAGAGGAACTCCTGAGTCCCTAAGTTACATCTCCCCTCCATTAAACAGGATAACCAAGAGTAATCCTTTTCATATGTTCAAACAACCACAACATAAGGTTGGCTGAATCTTTTTACCCCTCAACTCTCAAAGACTGTGCCTGAATCCTGCTGGTTAGAACTTTCTTCTCTCTATCTGGCTCCTAGATTTACTCATGACCAATTTGCAGCAGTTTTATTCTTTCGCCAAAACTGTTTCAGCTTACACATCTCTTACAAGATATGCATTTCCTCAAATACAGGTACAGTATCTCCATTTATTTTTTTTTTAACAATAATTTGAATGGTGGTATCAATACTCTGATATCTTAGTCATATATATCTCAGATAAAATACCTTAGGTTCAGCTGATTTTCTTCCTGGACACATACATGATGAAATCCTATTGCTCCATTTACATTTCATTTGCATAGTTGGATGATCTAAGAACTTCCCATTTTAATTGGAAGAGGCGAGAGAACACCAAAAAAAGTGAGGGGAGGGGAGATCAAGAGACACACATAAGATGAGACAGCATTCTCGCAGCTTGTTAGCTGCTTTTTATTAAAAAAGCTGATAATAGCTTACTTTTTTTTTTTAATCACTCCTATTTTTCACAGCAGTTTTGAGCAATCCAAATAAATTGTAAAATGGAAGCATTTGCTTCCTTTGAACAAAAATAGAGTACGTATCTTAAAAAATAATTATATCTGCTTAGTAATGGAAGTTTCTTCAAGACTTACAAAGCTAGAGCTGAATAAATCATGCACATATATGAGGTGATGCCTTCCACTTGATTTTCAGCAGCAAGGTCCTATGGAATGTCTACCTCCTCATCAGAAAAGGAAAGAAAGAAACCAAAAACACCCCACACAAAAACAAACTCAGAAACCAACAAACCTGCAAGCACAGAGCTGTTTGTTAAACAAGTGTGACTATCACATGCAAGTAGTCATATTATCATGAATTGATTTCTGAAGATAGCGCTAAGAGACTAGGTCAACACCTAGCCTGTACAGACAGCTTCATTAGAAAACTCTGAAAAATAAAACCCCAATTTGCAAAGCTACAAGAAGAAATGATTAGCTACGGAGAATCTCATTCTTTAATCTAATAGCACCCAACCCAATGGAGGTGATAAGTTTAATTCTCCCATTCCTGTTGGAAATGCATTATCTAGTTGATATGCAGTTTTAACTCATGGGATGTTGGACCACAACACACCAACTAGTTCTTTATGACCAGTCCTATTCCTTCAGCAACCCTCACTTCCAACTACATTAAAAGCAGCTGGAGACTAACTTTAAGAATTCCTTCAGGTCACATGCTTCAGGTCACATCCTAAGATTAAAAAGACTGCAGGATATTCCAATGCCTTGGACAAAATTTCAGTAACTGATAACACTGTATTTATTCACCACATCAAACAGTAGCAAGATCAAAACCATTTTCCCACCTGTAGTCTTCACTAAAGCAGGCTAGATAATCATAGCAATCCATATGTAACATCACGACATATCAAAAAGCCTAGGTTTTCTTTCTTTTCTACCTGGCCTTAAGGTACACAAGCATGCTGCAGCCAAACATCACAATAACAACCTCAATATTGGTCAAAAGCCTTCTTTACAGTGAAGCTACAACTTTTTAAGTGTTCAGAAATTATCCACGACAACTATAATTCATAATAACTAGAAACAGTCACACTACCTCAAAACACACATTCTTTGACATGTAACAGTTACCATCTGACTCAGGGTGAGATAAGATACTGATTGGAATTGACCTTTACACTAATTTAAGAAAAGCAATAGCATTAAGATGCCCAGCTGGCTTCTTCTCTATGTCTGATGTAGAATAACGCTGTGAAGCAGCAGTCTAGTTAACTGCTGCTCTGAAATCCTTTGTCCTCACTTGGCTACAGTGCTGTTTCAATAGGGATCAATGAAGGAACTTAACTGCTCTTTTTTTTTTCTTCTGTTCAAAGATCACATTTAAGCTGAACAACATGACAGTTTAGGAGGCTTTTGAAATTTGCAGAGTTTACACTTTTATTACCTTCTGGAGCACTTCACAATGCGAGGCATCATAACAGGTATTTTTCTGCGTTCATTATGCCGTGCTGCAGAAAGGTAATGCAGACCTTAGTCTCACAAAGGTTCTGCACTAGTAATTTGAACCAGAAAACTGAAATAAGCCTAAAATCCCTGATAACTCACCAGTTCAGCTAAGGAAAACACAAAGCAAAGACAAGCTTTTCAGCAGAAGGCAAGTCAAAAAGAATATAAACTGGTCCTCAGATCCATTCTCACCATACTCTAATCAGCAAAGCACACTGGTTTCACAGGGAATCTTCCTTTCTCAGAGTGAAAACAGACTTAGGAATATAGAACTCTACCTCATGCTAGCAGAAAGTAAATGCAGTCAAGAAAACATATAAGGATTTAAAGGAATAATTGTTGTGGAAAGATAGGCTTCATTTGCTGAAATACTGGGAAATGCTAATTACCTCATTATCTTTTCCACAGTACAAAGCAAACCCCACAATCAATACTGAAGTCTTACATGCCATGTGGCAACTGCTTTCCATTTTGCAATGTATCCTTAAACACAGAACAAACATCTGCAAAGGTTGGGATTAAATACAAAAACCAGTAAAACGGGACTGTGTAGTATTCACTGGAGATGGATAGAGAGGAGAAGTTGAATATAATTTAACTATTTTTTTAAGCTGGTGACAGTCTGCTATCATATTTTCCTGAAGGACTAATAACTGCAAATTATATAATCATATAAATTAAAAAGTTCAATAGCAGCAAGAATTCATGTCATTTATTTAGCAAAGAAAATGCCTACAAAATAGTTCTACAAAGCACTTCCCTCATCTGCTGTTTTCACTAAAGCCTCATTTCGTTAAAACCCCACAATGAAGACCTGGTTGTCACACACCTTGGCAATACAGCCTAGTCACTGATGCTCTTCACTCTGATGGGCTCTTTTACCTCTTCAAGATGGGAATGAAATTGCAAACTCCAGATTCTTTTTTACTCAAGTGATTCCATGAATCCTAAAAGCCTTAAGCTTCGCCTCAAAGTATTTTTTACTGTTATGAAGAGTTTGATATGCAAGTGCTGACTCTTCCTAGCTACACCAAATCAAAATGTGTTAGTCCAAGTTCTGCAGGTTTTGTTGCTGAACGAAAGTGTGAAACTGGACAAAGGCTAACCTGGTTTGTGATGGAGAATGATTTGGTCATCAACATGTTAAATTTGGTAAATTAATTTCCAACAGGTACACTACACAATTAATGAACACAGAGAACATTCTAAGGGAAACTGATATGTGTAGCTCAGCAAAAAACATTTAAAAAGCTGGACAAGGTACTGGCTATTAAAGTAGCCCTGTGAAAGCTGCAGCTCTCCAAGGCTGTTTCTAACTATTTTGCTCTGCTTATACAGAAAAGTTTTTTAAGTATTCAGTTCAAAAGAAAGAAAGAAAGAAAGAGATTCAGACCAGCTGAATGCACACTACTTCCTACTGAGTAGAAACATCTTTAAGTTTTGGCAGTGGGTAGCTGTGATCCCGACTATTCCTGATTACCCTTTCAGAACATGCTGAACTTTTAACAAAGAAGCAAACATTTCTGGCTTTATTGGAAGGGCTACCGAAGTGGGAGTACAAAGAAACAGAGTGCTTTCTCCATTGGACTGTTTTACTTACAGAGCTTACCATCAAACTATTCAATGGCGCCATACCTACACAGAAGTTAGCTATGATCAAGAAAGTAAAAGATGTCATTAATCAACAAACTTCATACAGTTAAGTAAATTACAAATACGGATGCTTGAGGCTTGCAGCCTGAAAAAAACATGGAAGGCAATTCACTAACACCTCCCAAATCAACTAACCAAAAGACACAGGCAAAGCTCAAAAGGAGCATATTACAGTTTTACCCTGTGGGCAATACACTCCCCCCCCCCCCCCCCCGTCAGAAAAACTCGCACTCGGCTCCTAGTCTTCTTTTCTCTTAACAGCGTGTGGGGAAGGCGAAGGAACATGAAGACCGCAGAGCCTTCCCACCACTCAAAGCATAGCAGCGCTCACAGCGCTCATGCCGACCCGGCTCGAGCATTACTTACAGCGCTGCTTGGGCACTATGAGCTTCATGGGTGCGTCCGGGAAGCGGCAGCCACCGGCAGGACCCTGGGCACCGCCCGACGCGATGCTCGGCGCTAGCACGAAGCTGCTGCCGCCCGCCCGCTTTCGTGCCGGGCCGCCGCTCCCCGCCCGCCGCCGCCCCATTGGCGCAGGGCGGGCCCGGCCCACGCGGCAGCGGGGCCGTACCCGGCAGCTGCCGCCGCATTGGACAGCACCAGGGACCCTCGCTCCGCCCGCCCGGTCCGCGGAGGAGGGAGGAGAAACGCCCGCGGCGCGATCAGCCGGGGGGCAGCCAGCCCCGGCCGGGCAGTGCTCTGGGCGGAAAAAGGGGAGAGAGCCGCAGCACCCGCAGCCGCCTGACAGCGGGCTGATACAGCCCCCCCCCCTGGCCGGTCTGCAGCAGCGCCGCACAGAAGAGGCCGGGCCGCCGCGCTCATCACTTACGTGGCCTGTGCCGGCGTCCCGAGTCCATCCTCCTGCGTAGCCTGCATTTCTTGGCCGGGGAGCCGTGGCTGAGCGGCGGTAGCTCCGCCCGCAGCAGCAGCGTGTGCGGGGCCTCTCCGCAGCCGCCGTTGCTCAGGGGCTGGCTCGAGGGGTGGAAGCCGTTCTGCAGCAGCCCGCCGAGCAGCGAGCAGGAGGAGGCGGTGGGCGGTGGCGGTCCCGCCGGTGCGGCGGGCTGTGCGCGGAGCTGCTCGCCCATGGCGGCAGCCTCTCCCCTTTGTCTCCCGGCTCAGCTCCGGCTGGGCGCGGCAGTGCCTCTGCTCATGCCGGCGCCCGTGCCCGCAACTCCGTGCGCTGGGATGCAGCGCCAGGCCCCCCCCGCCGGTCGCGGCGCACGGCGCAGGCGTCCTGCCCGCAGCGCGCTGCAGTGGGGCGGCCACCGCCCTCCGTCGGGGACGCGGCGACCCTCCCAGCCCGATCCCCCGGGTGACGTGCGCGCTCCCGGCCGCCGCTCCCGGCACCTGCGGGGCAACGCGCAGCCCAGGAGCGCGCCAGGGAGAGCGGGAGGCTCGGGGTGGTCCCCGCTCGCACGATACGGGCCGGCAGAGGCAGCGGTACGGTTGCAGTGCGCCTCCTCTCCCGCGGCCCGGCTCGGTGCGGCACACTGTCATTTTCGGTTCAAGGTGTCCACAGGGTCTCTCAGGTGACTCGGGTATCTACGTCTCGGGGGCCTGTGACCCCAGGTGTGCCCGATACCTCTCACACACCTACTCGGGCATCAGCGTTCACGTTTTTGTCTACATCATCACGTGTTTCCTGCACAGCGTAGAGGGACTAGTGTGACCTTGAGGGTGTTTGACCTCATGCTATTTTAGTGTCTTCGCTTTCCCTGCCCAACACTGGCAATCCTGTGACTGTGATTTACTCCCCGACCACTGAGACCTCCAAGTGTAAAAACACATCTTCTGAATGAAATGTATTAAATATCAAGTGGACATAAAACAATGCGAACCGTGCTGCAGTGTGTGTCATGTGTGTAGCTGAAACACTAACTGAATTTTGCCCTGCACATGAAGGTTATTCCTATAGACATACTGCCACTTACAGACAATTGTCCTTAAAGCAAAACCAGGTCACATAATGGCCCCTCCCTACACCTAAAATTAGTACAGGACACAGGCCCTCCACTGTGAAACACCTACAGAGAATGAAGAGCTACTCTCTAACTGCTTCCAGAAAGGGATACTGTGTTAAGAAACTGCTCCATGAGATGTAACATGACATTCTCCCCTTTTTGGCTGGGCCAAAACATTATGTTAAGATTTCTAAGAGCAAGCCACAGGAAAAAATGTACACAAAGTTGCGGAAATGAAGAAAGTGTTTGAGAACAACGAACAAGTAAAATTTTCTTCCTAAAAACCAGCTACCAATGTTCCAAAGGTGATCAAAACACTTGCTGTTTTCCTCATATCCTAAAGAATAAACAATTGCTGTAATTGCCAGCCCAAAAGCAACTGCCCTGAAGAGGGCAGGAAGGAAAGCAGGCTACATACATTTACTGCTAGAACTTGTAGTGCTTCCAAAATTGAAATTTTTCAAGACCCCCTAACTTACTGAATTATGTTTAACCTAAAAACCAGAAGGCTGCTGCATGGATTTGGAGGGACCTTCACAACACTTGTTGGTAGTTCTATGCAGCTGGCTGCTTTATGAAATTCCCTTGTTAATTCATACCTCTCCTGGCATGAGGAATCCTTACTGCTACTGTCCCCAGGTGGCAATGGTTGTCCCTCGCTCCATCCCTGACACAGAAACTGACTGCACACCCAACCAGCCCAATGTAGAACAGGATCAGTCCTATGAACTCGTTTTTCTCTGCAATTGCAGTATTAACAGGGAGCAGACACATGGGCAGTTATGGTATCTCAGCTTAAGGGTGGCAACTTTTTACCTGACTCCAACAAAAACAAGACCACCTTTAACTGTATGCTTACATTACCTTGTGGTAAGATAGCCATCCTTCCACTGACTCTCCAATGGAATGCTGTTGTTTCAAGTATTGTGCTCAATTTTAGGCACTAAACTTCTGTAATAACTAACACAGTATTAAATGAAAACATCAAGTTTTAGTCTAGAAAATTAAACACTTGAAGGGATATTCAATTCTGGAACAGGCAACAGCAAAGGAAATATATCGCAGTTGCTGAGAAACCAGAAAGGATCTATAATCAATAACTGCAGTAAGGAAAATTCACTTTAGACTTGAGGTGGACATTTCCTAGGATGAAGTTAGACAAGTATCAGGCTGCACTGTCAGACTCAGTTGTCCATTGCTGCAAGCTTTTAGGAAAAGGTAAGTATCTGTGAGGAACAGTAGAGCTGATTCTGACTTAGAGCAAGAACAAGCCATGGCCTGAACACCTTTCTGAAGTTCTTTCCAATATTTTATTTCTAATTAAATATTTCCCTAATATTTCACTGTAAATACTGCACAACTATGCCAAGGGTAGAAGTGGATTAGACTCTGCTGAATAGAAGAAGTAGGTCAGGAAAATACTGTTGGGATACAATCCAAATCACTGACAAGTCAGGGGCAGTGTAGACCAATAGCATATAACAACAACAAATGTCATCTCAAATAATGCTGGAGAAAATATAAAAATGGAGAAATGTTAAAGACTGTCCAAGTGAATTGACGGGGTTTATGTAGAGGGACAGATTAAATTCTACGTGTGCAATTTTCCCTGATTTTGTAAGCTGTCCAGCAGAAATGGATGAAAACGCTTTCCAAACTTCAATTGTTTAAAGGTTTAGTTTCAAGCTAATATGCTGCTTTATCAAACCCATTTCAGACTTTTGTACTGGTGAGTCTCACATGAGCTGATTTCTGCACTGCAAAATACCACCTTTTTCATATTATTTTTGTTTACACTTGATTAATTTTGGAATGAGCTTTTCAAAAAGTTTTACAGACCCTCTTTAGTTTTGATTTCGTAATTCTCCAGCTCTTCTACAATGTAAACTTAGACAAAGGGAATAAAATTAGAGTATGTGTGATGTAGTATGTGATCACCTGTAAGTGTTTAAAATGAAGAAATCTCATGTCCTCCAGTGCATATAGCCTGGCTTATCTTGGGCACCAGCAAACTACAGTGCAATCATTTGGCATTCAGGGAAAAAGACCTGAGCCTTTTGCATTAATCAAGTTGAAACTGAGAGCAGATGAACCATTTATCCTGTTCTGCATCAGCTGTGAACCACAGGTAGAAAATCTATGAGCCACAGGTGGAAATCTGGTAGCACCAGATTTCACAAACTCATTGCCTGATACAGTGATGCAGACAGCCTGTGCTCTTCTAATACCCAGCACAGGGGCTAAACTGGTGACCTGATGGTCTTGCATTATACTCAGTATTTCAAAATATGGATTGTCTTAAAAAACATGATGCAGATTAAGTATGACAGAAGTGATAATGTCACCTCCTTAAAACAGGACAAAAAGTAGAAATAAACAGCCCTGCTACTCTCACAGTTGAGCAGCAGGCTCAAGACCTTCTGTCTGCTGGCTTTTTTTAATCCATACTATTTATGAGACAATGCATCACAGCACAACTGGCTGAAAGCAGGTACTATTTTTAATGGGTGTTGTACTCTCTTGCCTTCACACCACATGCATACACACCCAGTATGGTACTGCCTGCTCTACATCCCTTTATATTAATTTATTTTATATATATTTAAGTTGTTGCAAATCAAGACTAGGTAGAACATAAATCAGTGAAGTAATGGCATATATTAAAGGTTCAGTTTCTAACACTTTGGTGCAACCAAACTCAACTTTTCCTCTTCCTTTTACTCTAAATTTCTAAACAAACTCTGTGAGTCAGTTCAGGTTTCAGTCTTAGCTTGCAAGACAACAATCCAGGTAGAGATGCAGTACTGACAAAATCAAGGATGCTTCCCGTTCTTTCAATATTAATTTACTCAGTATTTCTGTCTTCCTTTCTGAACAGGATATACTTCACTGTAAAACACTGTAAAACAGAAATCTGCTGGGAAAAGGACTGCAAACACATAGCATATTGAAGAATCCAGGACATGAATGGACTCAGAACAGTGAACAAGTCTGCTGTACTGACTCACTGCACATTGCACATTTGCATGGCAAACACTTCATGGACTATTCGATACCTGCCTACACTTCAGACATCAAGCTTTCTATTACCTCTATTTATTTCTTTAGAAAACACGGAGAGCCAGGCTGCAATTTTCTATGAGTCAGCTTCAACAAACTAACAATTACCTTGTGATTAAGATACTATGCCACAGGATCAAAAGTGCTGTGCTCCAGCCCTTACTGTTTCAAAACCAATGGCACTGGAAAACAAAACAAAACCAACCCAAAACAAAACACCCCACCCTTTCAGATATGTTATCAGGCACCCTGGCCTGAAACTTTTTGGAATATATCATAGAATCATAGAACATATAATATTTAGGGTTGGAAAGGACCTTAAGATCATCTAGTTCCAACCCTCCTGCCATGGGCAGGGACACCTCACACTAAACCATGTCACCCAAGGCTCTGTCCAACCTGGCCTTGAACAGTGCCAGGGATGGAGCACTCGCAACTTCCCTGGGCAACCCATTCCAGTGCCTCACCACCCTTATAGTAAAGAATTTCAAGGATTAGCTCTTCCTCCCTCATTCTGTGGGGCTCACATATTCCTGGTCTGAGGACAAGCTAAAAAAAAGCCATCAAACAGGTGCAGTCCACATGTATATACATCACCCGAGAACCAAACAGATTATTACAGAGCACCAACGGTGTTACTCTAATTCAAAGCCGGGCAGCTACAAAGCTTTGGTCACATTTTGGAGAGAAGTGGTAATGAGGAGCATCTACACATCTCAAATTACATAAACTGTATTACGCAATGCAAAAGTGTAATGAAACAGGCTTCTGGCACAGCTGCCTGCAGACTTATGTTCAAGGGGTTGCTGGCACTCAGCCGTTCCTGTTTTTGTTTCCATTCAGGTTACTTCTACGGTTATCCTGTTTCTATATTACAGGACAATCACACTAGATCTTATTCAAATTTTTCCCTTTAAAAATAAAGCAAATACTGTATGGCTTAATATACTAATATAAAAATATTAAGAATATTCCTTGCAAAAAAATGAATATCCTGTTGATTTGGTTTAGGTATATTCACATTTTACACATATTAAAAAAGTGCCAACTCCAGAAGTCCAGTATTTCTTCCCAATTTCTTTTCAGAATGGGAAAAAAACCACACTTTTTTGGTCTCTGCAGGTCTCTTTGGTAGACACATGTTTAAAATATACTTCAATGCTCTTTTCCCCTTACTTTAAACTGCAGGGCTAGAAGACCAACAGTCAAACATAAGTAT